TTTAGAGTCTAATCACAGTCTTGGTTGTCCTGTCCATCTCCCCAAAAGCTTGATTTTTTGGAGTACTAATTTAAGATCGATGTACAGAGAGGGAATTTTTTTACAACCATTGCTGAATTGTATGTAATATCTGACTTTAGCTAAAGCATAAATTGCTTTGGTTGCTTGTTTAAATTAGATCAATAAGTGCTGCCGATTCTCCTCTATTGCTAGGTAATTTGATAATCCATTGTTTGATATTTTTCTGCCTTAGATTCTGTTTTAACTATCAAGTATACATACTAAGTTATCCATTTGTTTTACCTTCCCCAAAGTTGGATCCATGTGCACTGGACTGCCCTTTGGTGGAAAAAACATCAGTGGAGCCTTTGTTGTGAGTAGTCCATAATATATGGTGCATAAATACATTAGTAGTACTATCAAAGTTGGAAACTGACTGAAGGCAAAAGGGAATAACTGACTTGTTGACATAGGCTATGTTCACATAGGCTATGTTTCTTATGTGCTCTTTCAGGTGATGAAGGGATAACACCTTGTTGAAATGCTATCTTTCTGTCATCCATAGTTGACTTTCCAGTAACTATCAAAGTTGGAAACTGATTGAAGGCAAAAGGGAATAATTGTTTGCGAGCAAACTATGTTCACATAGACTATGTTTCTTATGTGCTCTTTTAGGAAATGAAGGTATAACACCTTGTTGAAATGCCATCTCTTTGTCATCCATAGTTGACTTTCCAGTAATTTGGCAAATATGGCTTAGTTGATTTTCAAAGAGGCAGTTGGTTATAGCACTACCAAACTTGGAAGAAGGTCAAAGGCAGAAGTGAATAGTCATTGGCAAGGAAGATAAACATACATTATAGAGTCTTATGTATGCTGCTTTTAGGAAATGAAGGCTATATCTTCCTATGTCTTCATATATGTGTTACCATGGACCTCTATTATTTTCCACATGATTTGTGCATGAGCTTGCAACCAAAATATCAATTGCCTCCATGTTCACCAATGTACTGAACAGGTAGCTTTGTTGATAGCAAACAGTCGATCAATGATTTTTAGGTGCTATGAGTTGCATGTGCATGAGGCAATGTCAAGATATTTTCTTGATTTTACATTAATGAGGATAAATTCACCAGAACTGTCGTGTCTACAAAATTATGAATGGCAAATCAAACACACTGGCTAGAGCTGGATGTCAAGCCCCAAGGTATTCTGGAATACAATCAGAAGCAGGATCATGTCACTCGAGGGCATTATGTCTTTCAAATTTTGTAAAGATAGCATGCAGAAAATTCCTGTGAGATTTTCAATTTTTGAAGTAGCACTTGGAAAATGTTTTTGTTATTAATAAAAAACCTTGGTTTTTATTTAATGTTAAGGAAGATAAGCTTCTACCAATGTTGATGATCTATGTACAACTGAAAACTGTTATTGACAGCTGAGAGCTCTCATGCAGATTGGTGGATCCAAAGACAGTGGACATTCGATTTTGAATACTGTTAATAAGTCCACATCACAGATCAAGAAGCCCCCACATCGAAAAAATGTTTCTCCCCTGAACTGGTTTCCTAGAAAAAAGACTGATTCATTCTTGAAGAGAAAAATCAAGCATCTACAGGTACTGTCATTGCCATCTATTCTATCTGTTTCAACATAATTTTGGTGTGGTACTTGCACGTCTACATACTTTAAGTTTTAGGTTAGGATAATGTATCTTTGTGCTTTCTTTAGGAGATTGAAGGAATGAACCTTTCTCTTGATGAAACGCTTGGAAATGCCAACCCTCATTATACTAGGATAGCAAGGGAAAAGATTGCAGCTCATGAGGCAGCTCAGAAGGCCATGGAAGCTCGCAAATCTGCTATGGTTGAAGCCTCCTGGTGTCGAATACTAGGAGCAGCTAGGCAATACCTTATCTAAATCTCATAATTGTGTGCAGGATGTACTAATTGAAGTGATTAAAAAAATCCTTTTTATAGCAGGATTAAAAGTAAAGAAGCAGAGGCACGGTTGGAGAAAGCTGAGAAATGCGCAGAAGAAGCCTTTGAAGCAGCAAGAGCTTTGGGAGTAATGATGTATGATAGGCCAGATTGTCAAAGGAGAACATGCGAAATAGAAACATCTTTGGGTATTGGAGGACGGTCCACTCATACAGTGACTGCTTCTTTTGAAACTGCCTTCGAGGTAGATAAAGAGGTGGCAGCAGCGGTTAAAAAGGCATTCATACAGCTTGCAAATTGCCCCTCTTCTTTGGAAAAAGAAGAATTTAGAGATTTACTTTATAAAATCACTCAAAATCCTGATGGCAATCGTACCATGGAGGATGTACCAGAAATAACTTCTGAATGTGACACTGGTCATGGGGCAGAACGTGAGAAAGACTCGCATATTAGTGGTGACACAGACATGAAGCATGCCACCAAAATGAAACAACGAAAAAGCAAGAACAGTTTGCTTCCAACTGATAGTGGCAGCAGTATCTCTATGTCACCAACAGAGCTCATTGGCAGGATGCTTGAAAGACTAAAAGGTTTGCATGAGGATGAGCTTGCTTCTCTGGCTGTTATTGTTGCAACTTGTGGCCTGAATGCTGCACTTTGCGAAATGGAGCACGACAAAGATAATGATCTTGAAGCCATTAGCAGTTGCACTTCTAAACTAAGAACAGGAATGAGAAGAGATTCCAGCATTACATCCATCGTGGGTCACACTGTGCAAGAGAAAGAAGCTCTGACTGAAATACCCAGTCTGGACAAGTCTCTGGTGAAGCATGTCTCGAGACTTGAAAGGGAAGTTCAAGAAGCAAGGAAAAATAATAGAGATTTGATTAATCAGAGAACTTCAGAAACATCTGAGACCCATGTTGTTGTTGAAAGTAAGCCATCAAACAAAAATGAAAGACATGTAGACTCGACTTTGGACTTGGGAAGTGTTCTCATGAAGCATGTCACTAAACTTGAAAGAGATGTCCTAGAATTCAAGAAGCACAATTACAGGAGCAACTCACTAGTGGAGGATAGGAAAGGTGTGGAACGGAATGTTGAAAGTGAATTTCAATCCGAAATTGCAGAGACTAAATGCAATGTTGATGCACCTACATGTGACAGTATCCCAACTCTGAAAGGAAAGCGAACCAACACCACAGATGAATTATTAGGAGGAAAATATGGAATATCAATTAACAATGGATGTAGACAGTTGAGTAGTTCTCAAGGACTGACTGAAGATATTGAACATCATGGCGTAATGGTAATACATGAAGAAGTTCCAAGACCACCTTCTGCTTGTAGACAACAAGGCAAAGAGAATATAGATTTCAATCCTGTTGATGAGATGCATCAAGCTAGTAAACGCATGTCTCGTGTTGAAAGAGCTAAGATCGAAGTGTTGAAAACCTTTTCTTATCAGGAAAGAAATAGGGGTGGTGGCGACGCACTTGAAACAATGGGCCTTGATAAGATTTTAGTCAAACCAATTCATAGGTTGGAGAAGGAGAAAATGCAAGCTTTGGAACAAAGGAGGGATGAGATTTCCCTAAGAGACCAGAAGAAGCAAACAACCGATGTCAAGGATACAGAGAGTTTAGACATGATCTTGGTGAAGCATGTCTCTAGACTTGAGAAGGAGAAACTGATACTTGCAGCAGATGAAGGTGCAAAGACAGTGAAAAGAAGCAAACAGCAGCCTAAAGCATATGCACAAAGTTTAGATGAAATCCTGGTGAAGCATCAGTCCAAACTGGAGAAGGCCAAGCTGGCTACAACTCAACAATCAGCAGACTATATCAAGCATGAATCTCGTAGAGAAGCCAGGGAAAGGGAGTTGCAGGAAGCATGGAGAGGCATGAGTTTAGGGAATTCATTGAAACCCCATCTATCAAGGATTGAACGAGACAAGGTTAGCATTAATTCATTCTCTTTTGTTTCCTTTTTGAAAGTAATAGAGAACCTTATGGCGCATCTGATGCTTCTTTCAGGCTGCTTGGAGGAAGGCTGAGGAAGAGGAACACAACCGAGAAATGCAACTATGAAGCAAATCCAATTACTTCTCCTGCTCTGATTTCCGTGTACAATTTTCTTCGGGCATCCTTCTGATAAGTTCCATATTGTTGAACATCTGAAATCCATGTTCAGTCTCTTGGCGTGCATATAGAACCAATAGGATTCATACTAGTGAAATGGTTCTGCTGTACTTAGTCGTCATTTTCGATGGTTTATATTAGGTGGAATAAGGAGGATATACTATCCTCAATGACATCTGCCATGAAGTACTTATGAGATATCAAATGACAGGAAATACTTCATAACGAAGTCATTCATTCATTTCTTCGCCTTTCTCAGCATATATGGCACCGTCGATATATGGCTTTGAATGTATTTGATCTGACTCAATATTCAAGTTAGAACAACAAAAAGAAAGACTATGAATGGATCTGATCTGACTCGATCTGTTTCGAGATGTGACCTAATTCGATGACCAAAGGGAAAGTGAAAGAACCGATATGGTCTGATTCGATCAAAATCTGGCTTTTTGATCCAATTGGAAGCGGACATAAAGTTTTTGTGCCACGAAGTCCACCAACTTGAACGCGGTTAATTGACGACGGCGCGGAAGCTGCCGACGAGATCACACCGCATTTATTCATCGCTCATCTCCTCTCACGCTTTTTGATGCCACGCGCTTCTTTCTCCCTCGCACCGCGTGCTTGGCCGTCTCAATGGCAAAAGTTTCATAAACGCCCCTATAAACTCACTGTTTTAAGTATTTTTCCTCTAAAATTTAACATATATGTCCCTGGAAAACATAAAACCTGACATATGTATATTCTCTTATAATTTATATTCTTTAGTTACCATCAATTGACTGTTTGTTGGAACCTTTAATAATATCAATATTCCTTACAAATTATATATATTCTATGTATAAAGATCTTATGGGGCGCTACATAAAAAAAATATATAAGGGTACATATGATATTATAAACTTTATAAGAATTGATATGTAAACTTCCCTGTTGTATTGCCTTAATCTCGTCCCTGTCCTGCCGCGTCGCCCCATCCTTCCTCGATCCGATCGCAAGGAGGAGAAGGGAGAAGTGGGAAGAGGAAGAGAGATCGGAAATGGGTGGCGGAAATGGGCAGAAGTCCAAGATGGCGCGCGAGAGGAACATAGAGAAGAACAAAGCCGCCAAGGGTATTGCTACTCGTTTCCAGATCTTTGATCTTTTTCTTTGATTTTTGGGGGAACTTCGTGGAATCTCATGATTTGATCGGTTTTCCTTATCTCTTGTGGGTGCAGGCAGCCAGCTGGAATCGAACAAGAAAGCCATGACCATTCAGGTTACCTCCTTGCTTCGACTTCTCGTCTTCCCTCCTCTTCCTTTTTGTTGGTCTTCTTGCTCTCCTGTTGCTCTTTTTACTGGAAAATGGCGATCTCGGTATCAGATCGGAGCGACCGATTGGATTCGTGTTCGTGGATTGCCTTGTATGGATACGTGTTGATAACTCCGTACGATTTTAGAGTGGAAGGGCATGGGTAGATGATTCGGAAAGCTAGGGTTTTTGTTTTTCGATCTGGCCCTTTTCTTTCGAACAGAAGAATTGACTGGCTTTCGTCTTTTAGATGATAGGGAACGATTGTCGTGTTTTTTTTTAAAAAAATATTATTATTGATTTTGTTGTGCTTAGTTAGCTGATGATTCGATTGGGACAAAAGTATGATTCTTTGGAAGAATTTGATGGTGATAACGATAGGAAATCATGTGTCCTTTTGAAAGATTTGGTTCCAAGTTCCACTTGGATGGAGGTATCCCTCTTGATGGTCTTATTTTGTATAGATGAACTTGAGGGGATAACAACCTTCATGGATATGCTGATGCTATCTTAATTAGGCATCTGTTTTTATTGGGTCCTTATGTATGCATTTGTATGCAAATAACATTCCCTTTGTGTCTGATTGTTTTCTGTGTTTTTTTCATATGGAACTTCCCAGTGTAAAATTGGAAAATATAAAGGTAAATAATTGCTTTTCCATTCATCAATTGCATTTGCATTAGGCAATGACCTCGGTAAAAGTTCTACACAAATTTGGCTAAGTTGCCTTTGCTGGCCTTAGATCTAATAGATTTTTATTACATTTTGTTGTATATAAACAGCGCTAACTAAAATACGCAAACTCTAAAAAGGATTTGGACCTGGAGTTTTTTGTTGGGATGGAATTGGGAGTGGAATGGATCTATTGGATCAGGGGGTTAGCATTTCAAACAAAAATGAATTAGAAGGAAAAATTAAAAAATCACAAATAATTTGCCATCATTTAGAGAACTTTAGAAATATATGTGCAATATGAGAAGGAATCTTTTTCTTTTTCTTCTCTTCATCTCCTCTTGTATGGCGACAGCATTAATGCTGGTTGCCTCGTTGACAAACTAGTGCTTGTCCTCTGCTTTGTCTTTTTCTTCTCCTCCTCTTCTATTCTGTTTGGCAACACTCTGTGTTCAGAGGGCCTCAAGACTTGATGGTCCTGATGGATGGAAGTTGGGATCAGTGGTCATAGAGCCATGTTGAAGAAGGCAACTCATGAACTAGCTTAAGGGTAGACCCAAAAGATATTGCACACATTTTTCTTGAAGAGAGATATATAGATTTAGATAAGAATAAGGCACATATTGAGGGGATGAGGAGGGAGGGGGAGGCCAATGGCCATTTTCCTCTTAATTTTTAGTAAACCAAATGCAAAAGCTGGCTTATTCCAGCAACTAAAGAGGCCCTTTTTTGGCAGTTTTATTCAATCGCTAAACCACAAGAACAAGTACTCTTGAGTTGGAGAGAATGAAGTTGTCTGTCCTTTGTCACTGACTCACTGCTTGCTGTGCAAGAAATATGCTCTGTTTTTTCCTGTCAATTTATGTTAAGTTTACAGTATCTGTGCCAAAAAAAATGCTTTGGTAAATGTCATTGCTAGATATATGGAATATGGAAGGCTATTGCAAAGCAAGGAAGCAATAACAAAGCTAGGCATTTGGTCATCATTCAAAGTATATTTGGCACTAATAAACCAATTTGCTGATTGATGAGGAAGAACAATTTCAGTAGGCTTCCTAAATATATAGACCTTATCAAATTATAGGTTCTTAGTTTTTTGCTTATTATGTTAATGGTCAAAATTCTCAGGGATGAAGGCTTTCTTTCCTTCCAACTCAGGTGAATTTTCTGATATCTGTGAATTTTTACTCCTAATTCAGCCCAATGTTTGAATGATATTTAGCTATTGGCTTGCAGATATTTGAGTGCATGGCTTTGCAGACCACAAACTCCTCATTGCAGGGGTTAAAATTGAATTACATCAGGATTTTTTTTTTTTGAACTTTTTTGCGTAATGCATGATCAGCTTTTGATGTTAAAAGTGCTATCATGCCATTCATATGGTATTTGTTGATTCACTTTGTTTTTGTTGCTGTAAATCCAGTGCAAGGTATGCATGCAAACATTTATATGTACCACATCGGAAGTCAAGTGCAGAGAACATGCTGAAGCAAAGCATCCCAAGTCTGATGTTTCTCAGTGCTTCCCCCACCTTAAGTAGTAAGCAAGCGACAAGGAAGCCTATCAAGTGTGGTTGAAATAGGTATGGGTAAAATACCTCTGTATGGTAATATAAAGGTTGCAGACTTTATTGATCTGAACTATTTGTGTCTTTCATCTTTATATCACCATCACATATGTTGTGTGTTTTAAACTAATTAAGAATGTGTGTGTGCTTCTTTCCGGACCAAAATTTTCTTCTTCTCTTTCTGATACTACCGTAGTGTGTGGTCTACATTTCTCTGTCGAATGACAGTCATCACATGTTTACTTGTATGTGAAACTCAAATTTGTGTTTGCGCTGGTAAAAGAGGTTTAATCTAAACAATGACTGATGTCAAACATTTTGGTGGATATATTTAATGTCTCAGAAGCAGTAACTGACCTTCACTTGACTGGGAAGGGTGAAATGAGATTAATGTGCTCCTGAGATTATTGTGTTCCTTTAGCACCTGACAGGAACTTTCTGTAGCTTGAAATCATTAATGTTTCTTGCTAATGGGGATCGGTTGTGGGATTATATTTCTGAAAAATGTGATAAAAATCAAATCCAAGGATGACATAACGAAAACCATCTTGGAAACTTTCTTTGGTAGCAAAAGATGGGTTATGCAATATTATTTGGCAGTAAAACACTATTTTTGTTGCTTACTAATCATGACATCATTAAATTGCTCTCATAGCTCATGCAGATAGATCATCTTGCTCTGGTGTGCTTTGAACCACTGAATCAACTTCCAGATTGAATTTTGCGTCTTGTGTTGGTTTGATGCACTTGAAGAAAACCAACTTTTATCTTCCATTTGTTATCAAGAGTCAGTCATCCGTATGGAGTTCGGAGATTACAATACATCTTTCATGTCAGAAATTGCACAAGTTGATGCTGTTGTCGATTTCATGATTCGGAGATGTCCATAGCTAGAGCTACATTTATCTTGCAGATATGAATGTGACTGACACCATGATTTTGGAAGACTTTTATACGATCCTCCATATCATTCATAGTGTACATCATCATTTACAACAGGAACGAGATAAAATAGCAATCACATTTGGTGAGAGCATTTCCGTAGTTAGAACAACAAAAATAGCTTGTGGCCGTCTCTGTAAGTATCAAGATACATACATACATGATCGACAAACTTTTCCTTGCCAATTTTTACAGCTTCAATTCTCTCATTGACAAGTCCACAGCAAATGAAGCATTGAAACGTGTCTTGGAAACTACTACAAGTTGGGAAAGAAATGAGTGTGAATAATTTGTGCAATAACAATCCACAAGGATTCGATACAGGGAAACATTGCCGCTTTTGTTAGTATTGATGAAAAAAGGTTGAGGAAGCAATGCTTGAGCCAACTGGAACGTGCAGGTGGATTGTGCAATCAACATTCTTATTGGCAACACCATGGTGAATCAACCTCTTTGTTTTTGTTTCTCTTTTCTCTGGAAAATGGAAAACTTCATTAATTAGTCACCAATATTACCAAAATAAAAGAAAGCAAAAAAAATTCTGAGAATCTAACGAGTGACAGAATGTATTCTGCAGCTCTTCCAATTAGCTAAGGTAGTACAATTGCATAGCATATGAAGCTACCTGCACCTAAATAAATTCAGTTGCTTCTAGTAAGAGTATCACTAGACAAATTCTAATTATGTTCTTAAATGATGCAACAACAATATGGATAGCATGGTCTGGATAAAAGTATGTCGAAGAAAATGTGAAAATAGAAATTTTCTCTTAGCTAACACATTGCACAGTGATCCACCATGATAACTCACCAACATAAAAATACCACCCGTTCCGGTTGGTACAGGGAAAGCAAAGATGTGAGCCAAGTGATTGTGTCTGGTTCCAACTGGTATGGATTGTGCGACCCATTAAGCTCACTGTGCCAGACTTCCTACACAATTAAGTAGACTGGTACTGAACCATTATCCTTTTCTTTTCTTTTTTTTTTCTCTCTCTCTCTCTCTCATATTCTCAATCCCGTCAATCACCCCATCTTCCTCGTCAATCACCCCATCTTCCTCGCCACGCCACCACCACCTCCTCCTCCTTGTTCAGATGGCCACCTCCTCCTACCAGTGCTTCCACCCCCTCTGCCGTATCCTCCTCCTTTGCCAGTCCTCTCCAGCTTCCTCACCCTACCGGTCCAGACACCCACTGGTATCAGCACCAGATCAATCTTTTAAACCTTGATCCTAAGAATGATATTTGATTAATGAAAAAGCCATCAAAAGCAAGAATCTGGTGCTTACTGTTTACCAAAACAGAACCTAGCAATTGTCTGCACTGGTATTGAATATACTCTTAGGTACTTTTCCATATCCTAAATCTCACTCTTATCCAACAAAATACCAGAAACAATAATCAGTCATTCTCATTCCAATTTCAGTAATCAAATCCTGTTACTCAATGAAAAATGACCAAATTGGTCACACATCAATTTGATCTCTGAACCAGTCTCGAAGAAAGTGTGTTGTCCGCCAAACAAGACACTGTATGCATCTACTGAAGTAGCAGCATACAGAAACTTACATCTGGAGTCTGCAGGACAAATTTGTTTGATTAAACCAAAAGTTATCAGACAAACTTTTCTACCAAGTTATCATCAACAATATTTTGGTAATAAAACATGGCAAACATGGAATCTCATGACACAAGAAAATAATACACTTTAGTGAGTTCAAATTTTGGAACATTAACCTGGACCAGCTTTTTCTTATACTCATTTGCTAATTGGACAAATATGTGCAGTTTCTATGGCCAAATTTAGTATTTGAAAAGAAGCAGAACCATTTTGCCAACACCATATACCACAAGGACTAGTACCACGGCAGGATATTTGAACTAATTTCAAGATCCTTCACAATAATTTCCACGACATCAAATCATTTAATGGCGTAACCAAAAAATCCATATCGCTTTAAACCAAATGCAGAAAGAGATGCTTGCTTCAACCAATACAACCTAAGTTTTGACTATCTCTATAATGACTAAAAGTTACTGTCAGTAAGGAAGTTCACAGAATAATCCTAGTATGTAAGGTATATAAGATAATAATTGCAACCCAAAGAAGTCTACACAAAGCATTTCTTATAGGCACAGAAATGACTTACCTACAACACAAGATTCTGAGGCTTTATAAAGGAGGAAGACCCTTGCAAGATATATAAATGCACAATGAAAACAATGATGCTGAATATGCAGATATCAAACAACTTCATAATGAACAAGCATGGGATTAGCAGCAACAAGAAGATCTGAGTTGACCGAAGCATAGAAAACAAATAATGTTAGGAAGTAAATCACTTAACATCCCTCATGCCAGGAAAAATAAAAAAGAGATCCATAAACATTAGAACCAACAATACAACCTGAATTAATTAAACGAAACACAACAAATCAAACAGTTAAAATTACAGCCTTCAAGCTAACTTGTAGTGATTATGAGACTTGGACAAACACTCAAAATTCAATCATCAAGATAATCCTAAAAACATGTGAATGTAATATGCCAGAAAAAGCTGAGAAGGTTGGTGGCTGAAATAAGAATAGATAGTTACAACATATAAGAGGTTCTATTTATGCTTCGAATGATGATATCTACAGTTGAGATTTATCAGTTTACAACATGATTTCAAAATGCGATTGATCCACAAAATTGTGAATGCTCCATTATATATCGAGCATGTCTCATGCCAATCAAGTCAAGGTGGCTATTTTTTCTAATTTTGCCTGATAATGTATAACCAACATCACTGCAAAATTGCATACCAAAAAGAACTACCAGTACTAATTGAACAAAAGATTGAAAAAGAAAACAATGGATAGACCAAAAAGACATGGGATGAGAGGGTGATACCTCTGGGTGCCCTTCGTCTTCCACCTCTCTTGCAGCCTCAGCTACAATCAGTTGCATGCTATCACATACAAGGTTGGAGAGCACTTCACATACAGATGTATATGTATGTATATAACAATTTTTTAATTGACTAAAACCAGTCATTAAATTTTCATTTACTGAAGTTCCCAGTAACAGGGATGGTCACCATTGGCATTCATTACTACTCACTGTCATTTTCCTGTAGTGAACACATGAAGCTACTAATATTAACAGAACATGTTACTAAAAATCAATGTTACTTGACAATTTAAATAACAATTAGTCTTGCCATTGAAGTATCATGTCTACGTGTTCTCTTTAATTTCGTATATATGTTGGCTGATAATATAGAAGGATTAATCGGTGAATTGTGTCCCAATAATGCATATGCCTATTGTGTAACCACTAACAACATGAGAAAGCACTGCGTTTTACGAAGCACACAAACCAGCAATATGAACAACCTAGGGAATTGAATAAAACAAGCTTCTAACAGTGGTAGGTTTCCCATAAATTTAGCCATCAGGAATGCAGTAGTAGACAAAAATCGAAAGCATGACCTTCAAAAATTTTTTTATGTTAGTTGTCAGTAGCAATGCTCCTAATCTTTTCAAAGTCCAATTACCAATTCATAATGAGAGCCATCACATGGTTATCCCATCTTAGGTATAACGCTTTGGTGTTTTCTAACAATACAGCAACTACTAGCTTATCAAGTATATATGTCAAAGATTTTGCTCAAATTTACAGAAGACAACGATTTGGCTAGAACAAAGCTCTTTGACAAGCACCATATTTGCAACTATGATATCCTAAGAACCCAAGCCAATTATAATATTCAACATTCATCATTAGCCAGCTTATCTTAACCAACAGAGACTGCATATAAAGAATAAAGAGATCCAAGAAAACAGATGACCTCTGGAGGCAAGTAGGAAATTATTATGGCCATTAAATAATAACATGATATGCTTCCACTTATAAGTACTGACAGGGATATTTTCTAGACATCTCTTAGCGACCAGAAACTCCATTCAGTTTACTTACTTTTACATAATGTGATATGATGAAAATTTTATTAAAGGAGTAATAAGCTTTCCACACATTTGACAACTATAGAAAATACTGTAACTTAGATTAAGAGATCCTAAAATTATACTTTACTACCCTAAAAAAGGATATGTTTAATCTTCTGCATCTTCATAACTTTATGGGTTACATAGCCAAGCTAGAATGCTTAGTATAGATAGTTCAAAATGCTTGCCTAACCCTATGGAGAACATGTTAGATATAGATACTCGTTGTAGCCTTCTTGGGCATGTATTTGATGGTTCCTTAAATTATAGTTCTATAACGCAGTCGGTGCACCCGATTATGTGTCCACATTACAAATATGCAGTGTGCCTGAGTATGAACATGTATTCGGTCCACACGTATGTAACACGGGAGCATGTGCCGCTTAATTGCTCAACTTAATGGGCTGAGCCTATTGGTCCAGCTGGTTCAATCAAACAGAACAAGTCCATCACTGGGTCATCTCTAACCATCATTATTCTATACATAGGAAGTTGATCGTAGTACCTCAAAGACTTCAGTAAAATGCACCATGATCCACATGCAAACGTTATCCATGATTCACAATCCTTAGTAGCATGGTCAGAATAACAAAGTTTATCAATTGGTTCCCTCATTGTGGTAAGATATATTGCTCGACCGCATGACTCATGATATGTTTAATATGACATGAGTCTCGTGAACTAAAAACATGAGATGGCAAGTTAAATTTAGAGATTAGAGGAGTCTGCAACTGAATAGGGAATGAACATAGGGTTTATGTTAGATTTTTCTAATCTAAATTATATTTTTTTATGTTTTCTTAATGGATCCCAGATACGCATAGGGCAAATGCATTTTGTGGTCACTCAATTGCCTGCATAATGCATTTCATTCCTTGGCATCAAGCCCCACATCGGAGAAGAAAATTTGTCACATAGGGCAAAGAGTAACTAACACACAAAGCACTAAGGCACCACAGCAAGGAATAGCAGATGCACAAGGTGCCATATAGAAAGGATTCAAATCCTCGACCTAAGGTAAAAGGCTTGGGTACATTACCATCGGGTTAACTGGTGGTGTGTTAAAACTACATTTATTAATACTCTTGATAGATACAAAGGTCTGTTATTGATTTCATTCCGTATCATTTCCTATATCTTCAAGATTAGGCAGATTGATCCATCCATAATATGTTGTAAAGTTTTCTGATATCTGTATCCAAGATTATTTGAATCAAATTTAATGCTTAAAGCAATGATGATATCTAGACATGCTATTGTTAAATGGGGCAAATATATAGCTTTGGCAGTATGAGATTTTAGAATTAAATACGAATTGAAGGTACAATAAGAAACCATAAGCAACTAAGATTCTGATAAAGCATAAAAGGATAATGAATTGTATCCCACTTCTATGATGTTGATTGTCGAGAAAAGAGATCATTGACATGGTAGTAAAAAAGACACAACAGGGTGGAGAACTAATACCTCTTTTACGAGCACAAACCAAATATTCAAAAATGACTATGAACTTATAATTTCTTTAAGATGCAAAGTTGCAAATTTGAAATTTTTACATTTAATAACTAGGACATGGATCCATCACAAGAAATCAGCACCTTGAGAATTGACCGAACCTATCAAGAAGGAAGTGTGTCTTGTTCTCTATGTCATATGTTGGAAGATGCTTGGTGTGTAAGTTTAAATGTCTTGAAACTGAAAAAGGCCTTTTCATTATAAATTCTTCAGATAACAATAATTGCATATTATTGCATCAACAGTATTGAAAGCTCACAGGATCCTTTAATTTGCATCAACTCTGGAATCACCACAAAAGAGGGACTAAGACCATACACAGGTCACTTTTCATTCTTCCGATAAATGTGAGCATATCTTCTCAAGCAGTAGAGGCCAATCACCTCCAAGTATTTTATGATTCAATTCCACTGCCGACTGAAAATCGAGTAAAGAAGCATAGTAGGACTCATTCGATGTTTGCACTTGACCCACTTGCCACAAACCTTTCATATTGGGGAAAATCTTTCCATCCCCTTGACTCGTCCTATTAAAACTGTGTCTTGCTCTAGCTAAATCCATACAGGGTTTTATCAGCCTCCTTAGAAATGCATCCAATCCATGATTTAACACATTAGTACAGTCAACCGACAGACCAAGGCCCTCAACCACCAACTTACGCTCCAACCGATCCCTCAAAGACCTTGTATCTGGCAGTTGAGAAGTACGAAGACAACTGTCAAGAACATTTGGCTCAATAAGTTTTAATCTTGATGTAAAACCAGTACGAAAAAATTTACTAGGAGGATCACCAAGTGTCACTGGAATGCCAAGAGGAGGCCTTAAAGGACTTCTACTTTGAACACTTGGGCTACATCTATATTGTTCAACCTCTTCCCCATCTTCGACGGATGCTAGAGCTTTGCTACCAATAGATATCAACTCTGGAGCACTTTGTTGCTCCCGTGGCCTCTGAAGATCACAAGAATTTGTGACTTCTTGAACATGTCCAGGAGGAATTTTACCATACGGCCCAAGGAGTCTTGCTCGGTCAGCTGATCTACGGTCCTTGCTGTTTATAGACCTTCCCCTCCGAGGGGATGCTGGGAAGGTTTCACCGAAGCTCGACATCTTACTAGTCCGTGAATTTCCTGTGATTGTCTCTCTGCTAGGTGGTGCAAGCGCAAGACACGCATTGCTAAGGATCGATCTGATGAACAAATTATGAAGGGCAAGATTTTCCTTTCCGATAATCCCATAGCACAGCTTCTCGAACTCCAACTTGCTGAGTTTCAAGTTCAGTAATCTCTTGAGGATATAAAAGTACCTCTCGGCTTTTCGGCGCCCAAGCTTCTTAAACAACTGAGACTTGAGCTCAGCGGTATCAATTCGTGACAACTGCCGGAAAGATGACATTTTTCACCTCTAAAACTTTATGCAAACACCAAATTGCAGCTCATAAAGCCTGATGAGAACCAAAACGGGTGTGCGCAGGAAGTGCATAAGATTAGGAAATCCAAACAAAAACACATCAAGCAAAGCAGATTAGGTAAGAAAAGCAAAAACAAGCCCAAAATGAGGACCATCAAGAAACACAAACAAAATTTTTCGACAAACCCACCGACCAAGCAAGCAAACAGCGATCGATCTCGAATGCAGAGAGGAAATGCGGTATTAAGCAACATCAACTACTGCAGGTTACTCGAAACAGACTAATAACTCGAAGTACGAAAGAACCCTACAAGAAAGAGACGGAGAAACGGATCGTGCAAACAAGGATCGGGCTAAGAAAAACAACAGTCGATCGAAGTCAATTGGCGAGAAGAAGATAAATGGGAGTAGAAAAATCTGACCTTGTCGACGAAAATGTCGCGCATGTCGCGCTGAATCGCCGAAATCAGGGTAAGAAAGGTACAGATTTTGCCCCCTTTCGCGGTTCTCTATTTATTTACCAGTTTCAACATACTTTTTCACAAAAACCCCTCTCTTATTTCTTTTAAATATCATAACCTCCTCCCTTTTGGATTTTTTACGTTTCGATCCTCGTCTTATCTAGTAATTAGTTTCCGACCCCTGTTATGGTAAGTCAAATAGGGTAAGCACATGGTGTCTTCTTTCAATTTTGGACTCTTCTTTTCTTTGTGGTAAATGAGAAGGATATATATATATATATAATTAAATAAATTTATACAACATGATATACCAGCCAACTATTCTATACCCCTCCTTGAATATATGTAAAACCTTAAAATACATTAAAAAAATCTTAAAAATATTTATAATTACATCTAGAATATTTCAAGGTGGACAAGTATTCCGAATTTATAGAGTATAATTCAACATGTATTTTATGTAATCTCTATTATCTAAAATATTTAAGTCTTTAATTGGCCTGTTAACTTTACTAAGTCTAAATCATTGGATCAGAATTTTTTTACTTCAGCTAATAACAATATATTCTCATAAAAACAACCCAAATTTTTATTCGGGATATACTTAAATTCTACGATGTACCTAAATAAAAATTATAATAACTTATGATATATCTAGCAAATTTTTTATTCCAAAATCCATCACAATGCTACTAATGATTGTAGTTAAAGTGATTTTTTGAATACTAAATAATAAAAAGCTATTGATTTAATGGGGAATTAATTGTATATAGCTATCTATTCAACCACAATTAGTTGTTGTTGTGATGTTTGTTTGATATGCGTTAGGTATGCCATTCTAATTGGTTGCTGCCTAATTGTGGTGTTTCCAGCGTAGTTATCATCAGAGTGTGAAGGTTAAGCTTCATCAAGTCTTGTAGGGTTTCTTAATCTTCCATCAATGTGGATGATTAGCGCACGTCTTACTTAGCACATTATCTTCAACATGATGAATTATCTCTGTGAAGATATTTGCATGCTTAGCACATTATCTTCCATCCCATGAAGAAAAACAGATGGGAAAAATAGGAAAAAAAAGCCATAGCAAATCAAATGTTTAATCAAAATTTATTTACTAGTTAATCGAGTTGGAGTTTGGATAGGATAAAATTTACGATTATGCATCCATTAATCGAGCATGAAAGTACTATAGCTGGGAATATAAGATATATAATTCGGATGAATACTGGTTTTTCTTATTCATTAGCATTTGATGTTTTCCTTCATGATCAACATTTTACATTGTCACACCACCACATCATTTTTCCAATCTGTTCAATCATAGCTATCATGTCTAACCCAGCAAAAAATGGCATTGTTGCATATGCCACACACCACTGAAGCCATCATCAAAAGGTTTCTTTCCTCTCAAGGTTTAATGTTCATCATGTTTGGCTTACTTGTCTCCTCCCCTTTGCTTCCATTCCATGAAGCCCACCACCGTTCCAATATCCACTGCATGTTTCCGATGACAAGTGTGGTGTGTCCTCTTTCGACCGAGCATTAATGGATCGGATGGTTCCAAACCTCGATTTGGAGAAGCAGCCACTGTTTATCATCATCATCATCATCACCATTGTCATCGTCGGTTATCATCCATCACTGGATGATCGAGTGTTCGATCATGAGGAAGCCTTTTCAGTACGATGCATCGATCAAGCTAATATGCTTGTGCTGCAGGCGCCCATGCATCATGCACCACGCATCTCGAAGGCCCTGCAAACCCATCATGGACCGTTGGGAGTTGGCCATCCCAAAAGCTGATAGCTTTAAGATGAACTCGAGTGATGTAGTTTGTACTGCAAATTAATGTTGTGTTAATAGTTTATGATATGTAATGTTTCTCGTAAAGGATAGATATCATCGCCTCGACGTATCCTTTTTGTGAACTGACCGAAACAAGATGCCAAAATATGTGTATTTGTTGCATTGAGACTGAAATGAAATACGAAATACAATATATGAATTAATCCTTTGAACAAATGTATGCATTTAATCTTGATAGATTCTGAAGAAAGATTTCATAAAGGACAAAATACCAGATCCAGAAAGACGTGTCCCCAGAGTTTCTCCCTAATAGTTTCTCCTCCTACGTGGCGGTTTCTCATACGCGAACCGGTAGTTCACCCGGCCGGACCCACACTTTGCCCTGGCCAGCCAGCATTAAGGTTATGGGTTCCGACACCACCCGTCACTAAAATCTAACCTCCGTATCTAACATCACACAACGGAAACACGCATCACTGGCCCCTTAACTAAGCATCTCTCCTTTCTTGAGTGTTCCATCTCCGCCGCAAACCCGCTTCCGTTGCCTCTCTCTCTCTCTCTCCTTCTCTCTGTCAGTCTCACTTCTTTTGCGTCTTTCCTTTCCGATTCCTTCTCCTTTACTCTCCATAACTCTTTGTTCACAATGAGTCTTATCCCATGCCTTCTCTCTACTTATTCTTCTTGCTCGCCTCTCCTCCAGGCTTCACGAGGAGCCCAGGAGAACGCCGAGTCTGCTGTTCCGCTCGGTAACCTCACCCCCACCCTGCGAAACCAGCTCGTCCCGAGGTGAAGAAGGGTCTCAAGAACTTGTCGGGAAGCGAGCTTCCCTAGAATGGTTGTCGTCGCCGCTGCCGCCGCCACGACTTCCTGCCCTCGAACTCAGAAGAAGGCCCCAAACCCTTTTCCCTCCCTTCGCCGCCGTGATCCCACCAGCTCCACCCGGCCGCCGTTGTCCCCTTCCGAGAAGGACAATGGCGCCGGCCCCAAGCGCCCCCGCGCCAAGGAGATTAACTCCCGCTACTTGGCCTTCTCTTCATCTTCTGCTTCCGCTGCTAAAGGTGGTTCCTTTTCCTCTTCTCCTGCCTCTTCTTCCTCCAAAGGTGCCTCCTTTTCTTCTTCCTCTTGTTCCGCTTCGACTGCTTCCTCCTCGTCTTCTTCTTCCACTGCTACTTCTTCTCCGCGGCGCTTCCGCTCGCCACTCCCCGCTTCTCGCCCCTCCACCCCGGCTGCATTGCCCAAGACTTGCTTGCCCAACCGATCCAAATCCGTCGACCGGGCTCGACCTGGCAGTACAGCCACGCCCCGAGCGGCTCACAATCCCGCCGCGCTCTCCTCCGTGGCCAGGGCTCTCCGAACCACCACCCGTAGCCTTTCAGTTTCCTTCCAAGGCGAGTCTTTCTCCTACCAGAGTAGCAAGATCGGGCCGACATCCCCTTCCTCCAAGAACAGGAAGCCCACCCCGGAGCGGAGGGGGCCTACTGCTCCCGCTGCCACTCCCGCGAGGAGCTGTTTTAAGTTGGAGAACTCTAGACCTTTGGACAGTCACCACCGCTGGCCTGCAGCCACAAGTCAGCAGTTCAATTCATTGACGAGGAGCTTGGACTGCTCCGTCGGCGACAAAGACTCGTTTTTGGCAGCTGTCCGGTCACTGAGGCAGTCAATGGCGCTCAATGATGGTGCAAGGAGAGCCTCTTTTGATGGTGGCGATTTTTCTCTGTCCGTTGACACCGACAGCTTGTCTTCCGGTAGCAATTCGGGGACGCACGAGTCCATTAATCTTCCGCCAAGGGGGCGGGCGACACCTCATGGAATTGTTGCTCCTTCGAGGCTTTTGCCGGAAAAAGGCCACCGGTTGCATAGGTTGCCGGATCCAGGCACCCAGCAGCCATCACCAAACCTGAAGAGTGTAGCCTCTTCCAAGTTTGTTCCCGCAAAGAAATCACTGGTGAATGGTTTGCTGTCATCTCCTTTTGTCGCTGTTTATTCTCATCATGGTTCTGTCAGGCCTTCTTCTCCAGGTAAGCTGTCAGCTACATCACCAGGGGGCATGCCCGGTGTACAACGGGTGCCAACTAGCCCAGCAAAGAGCTCTTCCACTGTCTTGCTACCTGGAAATGCCCCATCAATCTTTAGTTTTGCTTCTGACATCAAGAGAGGAAAGAATGGGGAGAGCCGGATCGAAGATGCACACCAGTTAAGGCTATTGTATAACCGATACTTGCAGTGGCGATGGGTTAATGCACAAGTGCATGACACCTTTCTTGTTCAAAAACTGACTGCTGAGGTACAGTTTGGGTTCCAGATTTAAAGTTAGATCTCTGTATGAATTATCAAATTGTGTTTGCCACTAGTAATTAATTTCTAAGAGGAGGGTTTACAAGGTTCTCACAATCCACAACTATTGTTAGTTAAGATAGGATTCATCAGCTCTATAAGTAATTGGTTCATTCACTAGTCTTCATAGTAGTCTCGGCATGTGTTATTCTTGCATAGATTTTATCTGTTGCACTTTACACCATATATTTGTTCTAGCATTCTAAGCATTTTAGTCATGTAAATGCAAGAAAGCCTCAAACATAGTGATGTCTATCGATCTTTAATCTTTTGATATCTTCTAGTCATGCTCAAGTTGGCTCATTTCTTTGTCATGTTATCTTGGCAAAATTTTCCATCAAAAATAAGGAAAAAAGTTGGACTAGTCATTCAGTTATTGCAACCAATTAATGCTTGATGGATATATAAAAACTAGTTAGTGAGGTGTGGTTAAAAACACAGACCTTTACTTGTAATTCATAACTTATGCAGAGTGTGAATTACCTGTGAGGGAACTCTCAGCTTCCGTTTCTTGATATGTTTGCAGGAGGTATTTTCAGCAATATTAAGCTACAAATATGATCAACATTCCTCATTAAAATGTTCCATTTGTTTGACTATGTTAACCGTTCTAGGCCATCAGTTTATTTGAAAAAAAATCATCTCTCAATTTAGGGCTTCTAATTTCCTTAAAAATAATGGTAAAATTGTTTCGATCTAGTGACCACTATGTGGAGATCATTCGGTAGCAGATGCTGCTGTTGTTTCGATCTAGTGACCACTATATTATTCTTTTTCACTCTATTTGCTGGGATAATTTGATTGTCTTGAATTCTCTGTATGTTTTGTATATTTCTGATTGGATTTTTGCCCTTGAGACAAATTATGCATTTCTTTTGATCTTTGTCCAGAAATATCTGTCTAATGTCTGGATGACTACCACCAAAATGCATGAGCCTATAGCAATTAAAAAGCTCAAGGTACAAACAGACAGACAACATGTGAAGCTCAGATCAATTCTTAAAGCACATGTAAGACTTTTGTGCTAATTTGTGTTTCGTTTTATATTCTGAATATTGGATATTCTGTTTATTTTCATTTCTATATACCAAAGTATCATGTTTCATGGTCATATAATTATTATCTTTATTTAAATCATCACTTATTTAATTTTTTTTCTTTCTATGTGAAGTGATGATTAATGATTACTAAATTCCCTTAAAGTGTTAAGCTTAAACCTATTTTTTACCCTTGATGGTTCTATTTATAAAAACAGCAACCTTTCCTTCGTGCAAAAGGCTTCTTATTCAACAGAACAGTCAACAGTTATTTCAATTGTAGGACCAGCTTTTGAGCTAAGATCAACTCTTTGTCAATCAATCGACTAGGTTTTTTGGATGAGTGGTAAAAAAACCCTCATATTCTACAATGTTATTAACAAGTTTAGAATGATTATTGATAAAATTGATAATCTCATAGGGTGCTACATGATACATAGGTTTCCCATCTACTTCTTTGGGTGAGACATGCTTAACGTTTTGCAAGACTTGAAAATATTAATTAATCTTTGTTGACTTATATATATATATATATATATATATATATATATATATATATATATATATATATATATATATAATTCACACTATTTCTAACATGGATTAAAATCTTGATCCTCTATCAATAATGGCCAGTGATTGGACTAATACAATTCCATGTATCAACACTTGGTAGCGGTCAATATTGGTCATACCATATAGACAAGAGAAAAGAGAAAGAAGAGGGGAGGAGGAGGAGGTAAGGGAAAATCACTGACATTGTCTTCGTGGGAGGAGGAAGAGGAGGCTGCGAGGTGGAGGAGTTGATACTGATGAGTAAAATGATAGGAGGAGGAAAGAGAGAGAGAGAGAGTCTACCATAAAGAGAGAAGGAAAAAATAAAAAGAAACGATAGTTGAAATTTTTTTGCATTAGTACTCTGCAATAAGCTTACTACCTGACACAACTTGGTATCAGTCTGCTTAAGGTTTAGTAAGCCTGGTATAATTATCTTACTGAGTGGTTTTGTACCAGATCACCTGGTGGGTTTGCCCGTTCTACAGACCGGTGAATATTGCTGCAACCAAAATTTGTTTTCATGATTTCATATAAAGCATGAGAATGACATCCTGATAATTGTATACCTGCTAAGCCAATGCCCATTCGCCTCATACTGTGCCAATATGTGTTTCCTACCAATGTATGACATTCTTCTCGATATAGTTGACAAACTGGGAGGTTTAGCCACAGTAGCACCGGGTATTCTGTTTTGGATGCTTTTAATAGATTACTCACCGCTATGATGGATTAGATGTCTAGCTGTGGTGGCATCATTTGTGACTATTGGAGAATTGCTTCTTCTTTTCTTGTTTTTAGCCATAAAATTTATTCCAGGATGGACCGGAAGAGGAAATCAAAATTCTGAGGTATGAGACTGGTCAAACCTGATGAGTGAAAAATTCATACTGCTTTTCCAGCTGTCACTAGAAAATTCAATTGGTTATGGAGTCTGCTTGACAGACATAAGAGATTATCTTCATTCTGATCGTGGACATGCACCTTTTGATATGTTTAACTTTCTTTAGCATTATTCTAAATATCTTTCTTTGATTTAAACTTAGTGGTTATACCACAAAATTTTATGGAGTTATTAATAAATAATTGTATGTAGTGGTTGGTATTCTCACATGTATAGATGCACTGATATAAATTGGATATATGCAATAAAGTTTTGTCTTGTTGACTTGATGTAGTGCTCTGGATAATAGCATCTGAACCTGCTCTGTATTTGATGAATGTAGATGTCCAATCTAGAAGAATGGTCTCTCATAGACCATGACCATTCAATTGCTTTATCGGGAACCCTTGGAGCACTAAAGACCAGTACTATCCGGCTTCCAGTGGTTAATGGAGCAAAGGTTTTTACCTCCCAGATTTTAGTAACAACAGGTACTCCTTTTAATATCATCCTAAATTCCAATTGATAGAGTTTCTCTGTATTTAACAGGTGGATTTTCAAGAAGTGAGAAATGCTGTTGGTTCAGCCATAGATGTAATGCAGGCGATAGGAACCTCGATCTATACTCTATTGTCAAAGGTTGCTGACTTTGTTTTTCTTCTTTACCCTTCATTCATTATGTTGGCTTCTTGCATGCATGTTAGAGAATTTCAATCTTTAGCGGATGTGAAATAACCATTCTGTCACAGCACTTTGTTTATGATTGATACATTCACCTGCATCACTTTTGAACTTGACCAAGTTACTAATGAGATGCATGACTGACCTAAAGACAGCATGGAATATCAAAATTATCTGCTTCTGCTCCTATGCATTTTTTATATAGCCACTAGGAGCCATTTGGAAATCTTGATCAGGAAACCTGAAATCTTCTTCTTCCACTCCTAAGCGGCTTCACCTTATCATTTTAAATTCTTTATTTGCGCCAGGTAGAAGGAAGAAGTTCCATTATGTCTGAACTTGCTGAACTTGCAACAAAAGAACAAGCCTTGATGGATCAGTGCAAAGATCTTTTATCCATGGTATCGGCCATGCACGTGAGTATTACACCTACTCTACTGCTTTGTTGACAAAATCAGTTTTTCGACGTACTTGCATCATTTAATCCATGTTTACTGACATATCCTGTATCAGGTCAAACAATGTAGCTTGTTTGGCCATGTAATACAGATGAGCAGACCAAGCCTGATTCAACTATAGGAGGAATCGTTGATTACATCTAACTACTAACATCACAGCAGCCGTTCTTTTTCTAACTGGAGACTCAGGGACAAAGAAGGAAGCTCGTCATGTTTAGCTCGAGTTCTCAACCGATTTTATGAGGTTCAACGTCTGTGTTTGTTGGCATGGAAATACCACGACATCAACTGTTTGTCTTCAACGATTTTAGCTGTTGTAGGTATGTAGGGTTGTCTTGTTTCGCCGCAGTGTTTTGGTTCATAATGTGGCAGAAAATTTGTATGTTTCTCACTTGCAGTTCTTGTTAATACCAGCTTTTTGCCAGACTGCTATGCACCTCTCATGTGTTAATCTAGTCTATCTTCCTGTTTCGACGAATCCGGTATCAGCTAATGCTATCATTCTGTGTTATTAAGCTTGTAAGCGGTGTATAAGACCTCAAAAACTCCATTTTCATTCTCTTTTCTTCCCATGGCCTTGATGCATCAGGTCCTTGAGAATCCTGTATGTGTTGGGACAACTTTGGCTCACATATGAGAACTTGTAAGTTTAGAAACAAACCTGCTCTTCATAGAAAGTCACTCTTTTTGTTAGGTGAGAGTACTTGCTCTATCAGCTTGGATTCCATGTTCTTGGAGGATAAAAAATTCTATTATAGAATTAATTTCATTGCTAAGAAAAAAATCTTAAAAATTAGGTATGGTTATTTTATAAATATTCATATATTTTTTAGATCTCTCAGTGAGAGAGAGAGAGAGAGAGATGAGAAAATATATTGAGTGATTTGTGTCTGAGGTATGTCAACCCAAAGTGAGGTCAAGCCACACAAGGTAAAAATCATGTAATTATCAGCTTGAAATCATTGACAATGTGAGAAAAGCCATGGTTGACTTTTCTTGTGGATAAGGGGAGGTATGCAATTTCCAAGAAGTGAGAGATTTTTATTGCAGTAAATCAATGATTACAAACTGCAGGAGTAAGAACACTGTCGCTCGAGTGTCCCACACGACACAAATGGTGTCATGGCAAAACACTTGTGATTTAAGAGTATCCCATGAACCGATCAAGAGATCAGAAGAAATCCTTCCCATAAATCCCATAAAGGAACCCATTAAAAAGCCTATAAAGACCAATTCAAATTAATTTTAATCCATGAAACCCATCAAGGAATCCATAGAAAGCCTCCGAAGACCTGTTCAAAGCAATTTTACTTCGCAAAGCCCCTTCTCAAACCCACAGGAGAAAGTAGAGAGGGGATCATCTATTTTGTAGGGTGAAGATTAAACCCTAAATCTCGAGGAGATGCTCTGCCATGGAAAACATAGCCTGAAATTGGCCAATGATCCTCTTATATCTTGATCACACCAACCACTGAAGCTGAAAGGAGGAGATAACACTCGATTCACCATCACAGCAAAAGAAAAGAGAGAGAGAGAGAGAGAGAGAGAGAGAGAGAGAGAGAAAGCAAAAGAGTCCAAAGGGAAAACATAGGGTATAAAGAAAAGGAAAAGATGAGAAGTGTTGAATGCCTTTTTTTTCCTTTCTATTTTATTCCTTGGTGACAGACAAATTCACATGTGATTTTACAAATCTATCCTCGTGCAGTTCATAATAACATATCTATCCCTATAATTTTTTCGTGCATATATCTCTCTCTCTCGTTAAATTATTTCGAAATAAAAATATTAAAATAGAAAGGGCCTAATATTTGGATAAACAGAGAATATAATAATTAGAATTTGTAGGAATAAATATTAAAACTACTTACGTTAGAGGGGTATATATGTAAATTTGGTAATTTATATTAATGTCTCCGCCGCCTTTGGTGATGCCCCTTCTCGGTTCCTATTTCTATGGCCTTTGGGCCTCTCGGCTCCTTCTCCCTTCTCTCCCGTCACCTACAATCCCTCGCCCCTCTCCTACGCCTCCCCTCCCCGCCCAGCCCCCACCACCTCGCCACCTACTGCCTCGCCGGCCTCCATTGGATATCCGGTGCCGCCGGTCAGGGGAGCGCCCCCTCTCGCCTCCGTCCCTCCGCAGTTGCAGCCGTCGCCGGAGCCCTGGCGCAGAAGATCGGAAAGGCCGTACGCCGCCCCGGTGCCCCGTCCCGGGCCCGGGTCTACGCCGACATCAACGTCCACCGCCCCAAAGATTACTGGGATTACGAATCGCTCACCGTCCAATGGGGGTAAGGGCATACGTGATCTTTCTCCCCCTTCTTACACCGCCGAAATTTATTTATGGGCTTTTGTTTCAAAACCGAGGATTCATGACGAAGGGATTCAATGATTTGTTAATTGCTTGCAGGGAACAAGATGATTATGAGGTTGTTCGGAAGGTTGGAAGGGGAAAGTACAGCGAGGTTTTCGAGGGAGTGCATGCCACAAACAACGAGAAGTGCATTATTAAGATTCTAAAGCCAGTAAAGAAGAAAAAGGTGCAAGATTTATCCTGTTCAATCTGAACTTCATTCTATACATGAGAATTAGCTAGTTTCTTTATATTGAAAAGAGCCTCTTTTAATGACTTGCTGCAATGAAATATAAATTTAATTAATTTTCTAGGTTCTCCTTGTTTTGTTTGATGGTTTGACATGTTTACTTAGCTGCTTTTAGTTTATCGCTCTTGAATTTTGCATGCCACTGTTCCTAATAGAATAGGGGCTGGATAGCCCTACCTTGCTTGTTGAGTCCTTTTCAATTCATTTTGTGACGAGGATTTGATTTTGATTGTTCCCTAGAGCCTTTTGGACTTCCATATGGGTCTTCACATATTGTTCAAGACTTATATTTGAGGAAATCCAAGCTAGATTGGTCTTGAACCATAGTTGCAAAACATGCTGAATTGTGCAATGTTGGATTTGTTGTTCATTTTGAATGGGAAACTGGCACCTTGTGACACATCCTCTTTTCAGTCCAGGTCTGATCGCTTGGGTACCTGTTTGACCCACTGGTTAATATGGGCAGTTGAATATTTTTTTCGTTTGGCTTCTCAACAACCAGCAGTAGAATTGGCTGTCGAAGAGCTAAATAACCCAGCAGTTGCATATTTGATCTAACTGTTAGATAGTTCATGAAGTCATCCAACACCAACATGGTGGATGACATGGGTTCAACAGATCCTGTTTGCTAAAAAAAGTTTGACAACAGAGTCGTACAGTTATATATATATATATATATATATATATATATATATATATATATATATATATATATATATATATATATA